ATTTTCCCTTCTTTCCACCTGTCACTACTATCCCCAACTTCTGTCCACCCATCCACCTCAGCCTCCTGTATGGAAGACACTTTTCTTCTCTCTTTTATCGTCCTTTTTGGCATGTGGTTTGCAATGCCATTACTTTCTGTGCTTTTCTTCTTCTGACTTATTTCATTCAACATGATATCTCCTGTTCCCAACCATGTTGTACCAAATTGCATGATTCCATCATTCCTTGCAGATGTATAGTATTCCACTGTGTGTGTGTGTGTGTGTGTGTGTGTGTGTGTGTGTGTGTATACACACTACAGCTTCATAACCCATTCATCTGTCATTGGACACCTAGGTTGATTCTTAGCTATTGTACTAGCTAAGACAAAAATATTACCACTAATAATATAATTATTTTAGCCTAGCTAAGTACTAGTACAATATTATTATTGTTACTATTGTTCATTATTCTTTCTAATTATATTAATAATAGTTTTATTTTACTAGCTAAGTACAATAAGCTAATACCTTAACTATTGTACTAAGTGCCTAAATGAATAATGGTATACATATGTCTTTTTTAATGATTCTTTTTCTCTTGAGAGTAGAAAAAAATTAAGAAAATAGAATTGAAACTAATGGGTCATATGACAGCTCAATACTAAGTTTACTGAGAACTCTCCATACTATTCTCTATAGGGGTATAGATTAGACTACATTCCCACTAGCAATGGATTATAGTTCCCTTTTCACTAAATTTTCACAAACACAGAGTACTCCCACTATTTTTGGTGTGTGCCATTGTCACTGGTGTGAGATACTCATTGTCATCTTGATTTGGATTTCACTAATGATAAGTCATGTGTACGTGCCTACTGGAAATCAACCTGTCTTCTTCTGAGAAGTATTTATTTCCTCTTCCCATTTTTGAATAGGGACTATTTATTTATTTATTTATTTATTTATTTATTTTTGGCTTAGGAGTCATACCTGGCATTGCTGAGAGCTTAATTCTGGGGTCTGAGTTCAGGGATCACTCATAGCAGGTCTTGAGTGATGATGTGGGATTTCTGAGATCGAACCCACGTCATCTTCTGTGCTATCACTCTGGTCCCAGTTAAAAGTATAAACTATAAGTCACTGTTTTGACTTTTATTCGATGTAGTATTAGAAGTTCTGACCAGGCAAGAAAAACAAATAAAAGGGATCCAAATAAGAATATAATTCAAATTATCTCTAATAGCAGATAACATGATAATAGACAGAGAAAACCCTGAAGAGTTCACAAAGGAACACTTATAAACAATAAGCATATATAGCAAAGTGGCTGGTTGCAAAGCCAATAGACAAAAATTAGTTGCCTTCTTATATACAAAAGAATTAATCTGAGGAGAAAGCAATAAAAGAGTCTTTCTAATTTAAAGCAACATCCAAATACATCAAGTATCTAGAGAAAAAATTAACAAAATATATGGGAAATCTATACTTTGAAAACTTTAGATCACATAAGAAAGAGATAGAAGAAGACCTTAGGAAATGGAAAAATATTACATGATCTTGGATTGGAAAAATCAACATTGTTAAAATGACTATCCTACATAATCTGTTATATAGATTCAATTCAATCCCCAACCAAATTCAAATGACATTCTTAAAAAAATTAGAAAAGTCAAAAATAAGGTTTATATGGAATTAGAAGATACCCTAAATAACCAAAGCCATACTGAAAAATAAGAAATTGGAATGTATTTCATTACCTAATTTAAAACTCTATTATAAAGTTATAGTGATCGAAACTGTACTGGATTAAGGAAAGTCTCTGATCACTGGGTCAAAATCAAACACCCAACATCAAAACCTCATATTTATGGGCAGTTAATTTTCAATAAAGGAGCTGAGAACAAGAAATGGAGTAAATATAACTTCTTCAACAAATAATGCTGGGAAAACTGGGTAAATACATGCAAAAATTAAAGTCCATCCATATCTCACACATTACACAAAAATTAATTCACAGTAAATCAAAGATTTTGAGATCTGACCACAAAATATAAGGTACAGGGGCTGGAGCGATAGCACAGTGGGTAGGGTATCTACCTTGCACGCGACCGAGCTGGTTTGATCCCCAGAATCCCATATGGTCCCCCAAGCACCGCCAGGAGTAATTCCTGACTACAGAGCCAGGATATCCTCAGTGCATCGCCGGGGATGTAACTCAAAAAGCATTGAGGTAAATACAGGCAAAGTATATAGGCAATTTTAAGATTTAGACCTCAAAGGAGTCTTTAATGATCTTTGCAAAGGCAACAGAATCAGATATAAACAAATGCTCAACATCAGACTAAAGATTCTGCGTGGTAAAAGAAATGCAGGCTGAAACTAAAAGATAGGCAACTAAACAGAAAAAGAATATTTGTATTCAACACATCAGATAAAAAGGTTGATATGCAGAATATATAAATTACAAAAATAATAAGTCATAATGTTTATTTATTTTTAGTCATCATAAGGTTGCAGTTATTTATGATAGTGTTTCAGGGATACAATGTTTCAACACTGGTTTCTTCACCAGTGTACACTTCCCTCCATTAACAGCCAACCTCCATTCCATTTGCGTCCTAGCCACAAGTTAAATAAGAAGCATTTTTTTCTTTTAGTTTTTTAAGTTCTGGCACTGATTTACAGAACTGTTACTAAGTGTTCTGCAACCTCCTTTTGGTTGAATGTTTCCCTCCACCATAGATGTTGCCCAATCCCTATCCTATCCCCAAACTCCCCAAGCGATATGTCTGCTTCTAAAGACCAGTTCTCATACCCTATGTTTCCATTGTCTTTGGATAGTTTTCATCCCACCATTATGCATTTTTATCCCGAATAAATGAGATAGATCATTCTTTTTCAGTCCCTCTCCCTCAGACTACCTTCATAAGCATGATTCTCTCTAGGCTCCCCATGTAGCAGCAAATTTCATGACTTTATCTAGTCTAATGTTAAAGTAATATTTCAATGTGTAATTGTACCAGAATTTCTTTATCCAGTTATCTAATCTTAGATACTTGGGTTGTTAACAGATTTTAGCTATTGTGAATAGTGCTGCAAGGAACATAGGAGTGCAAATATAATTTTTCCATTTTGTTTTTGAATCCTTGGGATATAATCCAAAAAGTGTGGTTGTTGGATCAAATGAAAGCTCAGTGCCTAAGTTTTTAAGAAACTTCCAGAAAACAATAGGGACATTCCTTAATGTCCATAATGATAACTTAATGATGACACCCAGTTGTCATTTCACTAGGAAAGAAAGTTCCTTTCTCCTTGTGTCCATACCAGCACTGGTTGTTCTTGTTCTTTTTGATGCATTGTAATCTCTGTGGTGTAAGATGATATCTTAAAGTGTAAGACTATATCTTATTGTTCTTCTTATTTGTAAGTCCCTGGCGATTAGTGATGCAGAGCATTTTTTCATATGCATTTTGACTATTTGTATATCTTCCTTGAAGAACTTTATGTTCATCTCTTCTTATTTTTAATGGAATTTCACACTTTTCTCATAAAGTTCTACTAGTGCCATATATATCTTTTAATTATACATTTAATTATATATTTGATTGAATATATTTAATTAAATAAATTTATAATAAATATATTTAATTAAATAAATTTAATTATGTATTTCTCTTATCAGCTGAGTTTTGGGAAAACAATTTCTCCCAATCTGTGGGCTGTCATTGTATACTGGCCATCATTTCCATTGAGCATAAACTTCTTAGTTTAATTTAGTTCCTTTTGTTTATCACTGCTTCCACTTGATTGGTCTGTGACATTTTGTTCAGAACCTTCCTTTAGCTTCAGTGTCATGGAGAGTGCTGCCTGTGCTTTCCTATGTGTATCTTATGGATTCAGGTCTGATATAAAGGTCTTTAATCAATTTTAAATTTAGTTTTGTGTAAGAAGTTAGAGGTGTGAGTTCAAAAATTTTTACATATAGCTGACAAGTTTTCCAACACTACTTGTTGAAGAGGCTTCCTTGCTCAACTTCATATGTTTCACCCCTTTATAAAAAATGAACGAATTATATACCTGATTATATAATGTCTGTCTTGGGATACTTAACTGTATTCTATTGGTCTAATGGTCTATCTGCATTCCAGTACTATGCTGTTTTAAGTACTACCACTTTGTAATAGTTTGAAATTGAGAGAAGTGATGCCTCCCAACTTCTTTTTCCCAGTCATTACTTTAAGTATTCATGGTATGGGGGGCATATTTCCATATGAACTTCATGAGTGTTTGATATATACTCTTTGAAAAATGTCATGGGTATCTTTATAATGATTACATTGAATCTGTACAATGTTTCTGGAAGTATTGCCATTTTTAAGATATCATGAACAGCTTTGTAAGCATCTATCTTACAGTGATTCAATAAAATTTTTTAAGTAAACAACATAAGTACAGCAGAGAAAAAAATTCTTTGATTTCCTCTCTGATCCAGTTGTTATCTAGCAGCGTGTTAATCAACTTTCAAGTGTTGAAATTTTTTCCCCATCTTCTTTTCCAGATTCTGACTATTGTGAATAGTGCTGTAGTAAACATAGAAGTGCAGATAATGTTTCTGCTGTATGTTTTTTGGGACCCAAGTTTATATTCCCAGGAGTGGAATTGCTTGGTCACATATCGGCTTAAATTTCTAGTTTTTTGAGGAATCTCCAGATCATTTTCCAAAAAGGCTGGACCAGTCGGCATTCCCACAAACAGTGAGGAGAGTCCTTTTCTCCTCACATCTACACCAGCACTGATTCCTCTTGTTCTTTCAGATGTGTTTCAGTCTCTGTGGTCTGAAATGATATCTCACCGTCATTTTGATTTGTTTCTCCCTGCTGATTATTGATGCAGAGCATCTTTTCATATGCCTTTTGGGATATACAGTATTGTGTTCTGTGTAACCAGGCATTTCCAGCTTTATCTACCAGTCAACCACTAAACTATAGTGTGTGTATTTCTGTGGCCTCCTTAACCAGGTAAAAAGTATTCAAGATGCAATCCGTGATAAGAAACAGCGGTTCAATTTCCTTGGGGAAGAGATTAGCCTGAATCCTTCTGTGGGTATCTTCATCACTATGAACCCAGGCTATGCTGGCCGAACAGAACTACCTGAGAATCTCAAGGCTCTCTTCAGGTAAGCATTAGCATTTCTCTATTCAATAGTACAAAAAAAGAAGTCTCCTTTATTTTTCTACTGAAATATTTAATATATATATACACGTGTGTATGAGTGTGTATATATACTGAACCAATTGATTTGAAGAAATACTGAACCAATTGATTTTTTTTTTTTTTTTGCTTTTTGGGTCACACCCGGCGATGCTCAGAGGTTACTCCTGGCTCATGCACTCAGGAATTGCTCCTGGCGGTGCTCAGGGGACCATATGGGGTGCTGGGAATCGAACCTGTGTCGGTCATGTTGGCTGCGTGCAAGGCAAACGCCCTACCTGCTGTGCTATCGCTCCAGCCCCCACCAATTGATTTTTAAATGTTTTATGCCATCACTCTAAAATTTTGCTTAACAATCCAATTTTTAATTTGTATTTTTTAACTACCAAATTATTTTTCATCTCTGAAGCACAGTTTTATTTATTTTTTGTATTTTATAATCTATCATAATCATATCATTGAGTCTTGTTAGGCATTTTTAAACAATTCTCAGTTAATGATTACATTCTATTTTATCTAGCACATTGTCCACAATGCAATTAACTACTACAACATAGCTAAATGTTAAGATTGCTTTTTGACATTTAAAGCAAACTTATGCCTAAGGTGTAGTATATATTTTGAATATGAGTACTTTTCTCTCTATGCCTGATTATTATCATTTACTAGTAGATTCCTAGATGTGGAATTATCGAGTTAACAGTGTAGAATATTTTTTAAAACTGTTGATACACGTTGAAAAATTACTTTATAAAAGAGTAATGCTGAATTATACTCCTAGTGGCAATGCATGAGGTGTCCTCTTTCATTTTACATTTGCCACTGATAGCTTGTCTTACAATACTCTTTATTGTGTTAAGAAAATATAAATGTACTCTCTAGTAGGGACTGAGGAGTGCTTCTTTTTTTTCATAAAAGACAAAACATTTGAAGGGAAAAGGGAATAGTACTTTAGGGCTTAATTTTCCACCTATTAATTGTTACTAAAGATATATCTGTGTCTCTCTATATGTGTGTCTCTCTGTTTCTCTGTCTCTATTTCTCTATCTTTTTTAAGTTATGTTGAAATCTTGGGCAAAAGACTTTACTTCTTTTATCCTTAGTTCATCTTTAAATTCAAAGTCTTACAAAAAGTAATTTTTTACAGATGTCTCTCTGTAATATGAGTCAGTGTTTCTCATCCTCCAAGATCCCCTCTAACTGTGTGGTTGGAAAAATAACTTTTCCCTCTTTCTTCTTGTACATAGACCCTGTGCAATGGTTGTTCCAGATTTTGAGTTGATCTGTGAAATCATGCTAGTGGCAGAAGGATTTATTGAAGCCAAGATATTGGCCAGGAAGTTTATCACCCTTTACCAGTTGTGCAAAGAGCTTCTCTCCAAACAGGTACTCTGCTTTGTTAGACTGCTGACCAATTATGTGTGATTGTATCAGCTCTAAATAACTTCTGGAGCCAATGTATTAGTGAAACATACTTGCCTTTTTATAGTCACTATGCCCAAAAGCAAATAAATTCTCTTACCACTTCCATAATAAATATTTGTGTTCATGTTTTAAATTCATGATGCAAAATAATTTTGATATAGAAAGGTTTCTTGGTATATGCCATGAGAAATATCACAGTAATTTACTTTCACAGAAGTTTATATTCTGAAATTTCTATTTTTATCTCTAAAGTTGTGTTTTTAATGGTCTTAAAAAAAAAGGTTTTCCTGAGTGTCTAAAAGCATGTCTAGTAAGACATGGGGGTTTATTTTCCTGAAACACCACTCCAAATATAGTTCTGGCTTCCTTACTTCAGTATACTAAAGCATCATTTACTCATTAATTCTTCAAAGGTGGAAATAATCCTTGATATTATCTTCCTCCTTAGTCCTCTATTTAATCATGAATCATCTATTATTCATGATACCCCCTGGAAATTTCTCAAGTACATCTTTTCATTTTGTTGTCATCCAACTAGAAAATTACTAGTGCTAAAAGTACAAATCTTTAATCATGATCTTTATATCATTAATCCTTTGTTACGTGTCTGTCTCTCTCTTTTTGGAGGTTGGGGGTCACACCCAGCTATGCTCAGGGGTTACTCCTGGCTCTGCACTCAGGAATTACTCCTAGTGGTGCTTGAAGGACCATATGGGATGCTGGAGATTGAACCCCGGTTGGCCGCATGCTAAGCAAACGCCCTACCCTCTGTGCTATCACTCCAGTCCCGCTATGTCTCTGTCTTGGCCTCAGGAATAATACAATAACTGATGCAATAACTGAAAATTTGTAGACAATAGCCTGGTTCTTACCATCTCAACTACTCTCAATTGTCCTTCTGCAGGATCACTATGACTGGGGACTGCGGGCCATCAAGTCAGTACTAGTGGTTGCAGGATCCCTGAAGCGAGGAGATCCCAATCGTCCTGAAGACCAAGTGTTGATGCGATCCTTGAGAGACTTCAATATTCCCAAAATAGTGACAGACGACATGCCGGTATTCATGGGTCTAATTGGGGACCTCTTTCCTGCTCTGGATGTTCCTCGAAAAAGAGACCTCGACTTTGAAGCATTGGTTAGGAAGGCAGTTTTAGATCTGAAACTTCAAGCTGAGGATAATTTTGTGCTCAAGGTACTCTGCGTTCTATTTCTTTAAGATTTCTTTGTCTCTTAATTTTTTCTTGGATGTTTCATTCTTAATATAAAATGTTTTCTTTGGGCATACAAATATTTATGTACTTAGTGATTATTTAATGCATGCTATGGCTCTTTATGGTGATACAAACATTGTAGGCTATGTGGAAGAAAATCATTAGCATATGCAATAATTTCAAAATAATTATAAATAAATATAGTATAATGTGAAAGGCATGTGAGTTTGTATGCATCTTTAGAATTTGTAAATATTTTGAAATTGTCAAACATAAGTTTTATTACAATAACAAAAATTATTAAGGTAGTAGGGCAAATAACGTCCTCCTAAAATAATGTCCAAATCTATCTATATCTATTTCTCTCTATATAATTTTATTAAAACATGTGATTTGCAAAGTTATCCATACTTGAATTTTAGACAGACAATGTTGCAATACTGATCCCAACATGAGTATAAACTTCCCTCCACCAGTGTTTCCAGGTTACCTCCCCCGTCCTTCCAACCTCAGCCCAACTGCCTCTTCGCCTGTCCTCTTGACACACCTTTCTAAGTTCTGTTGTTCAAGTTTAGGTCTCTTTATTTCAGTGTTGTTGACTTTGTGGTTTGGATATTTGGCTCTGTCATTCCTTAATATCACATTTGTATCTTAATCCCCTTCCCCTTCCCCCATTGCTTCTCATATATCCCTTCTCTCCCGACCTCTACCCTTTTATTCCTTCTCTTCCCTATACTCTGGGGCCAAGGTTGATCTGGGCATCCCCTCTTCAAAACATAGCGTTCATGCATCCATTTATTCTAAATATATCATTTCACACTTTTTAAGTCCTTTGGCATTTGTCTTGGGTTTCTCTAAAATTGGCATAATCTCTTTTGACTTACAGAAGCATAAATGACACTAGCATCAAAGTTCTCCCCAATAGGATTTTTACATTTCTTATGGTATCAAGGACTAGAGCAATAGCACAGCGGGTAGGACGTTTGCCTTGCACACAGCCAACCTGGGTTTGATTCCTGCATTCCTCTCCAAAAGCCCAGCAAGCTGCTGAGAGTATCTCGCCCACACAGTAGAGCCTGGCAAGCTCTCCGTAGTGTATTAGATATGCCAAACACAGTAACAGCACGTCTCACAATGGAGACGTTACTGTTGCTCACTCAAGCAAATCAATGAACAACTGGAGGACAGTGCTACAGTGCTACCACATAAAAGAGATATCATCCTGTGTTCCTTCTTCTTCTGGCTTACCTCATTTAATATAATGTCCTCCCATTCCATCCATGTTGCAGTTCCATCCAATTGCATGATTTTATCATTCAGCTGTGTAGCATTCCATTGTGTGTATATACACCTTCATGATCCACTGACCTATTGCTGGACACCTAGATTGATTCCAAATCTTAGTTATTATACTGAGTGCTAAAATGAATAATGGTGTGCAAATGTTCTTTTGAATGAATGTTTTTTTCTGTCTTTCTATACTGCTTATTAATACTCAAAGGCAGAATTGTTTAGTTATTTGGGAGCTCAGTTCTGAGTTTACTCTGTACGCCCATACTGTTTTCCATAGTGATTGGAACAGACAACATTACCAGCAACAGATGAGGGCTCCTTTTTCATAACATCTCTGCCAATAGAGACAGTTATCTGTATTTTTGATATGTGTCATCCTCGCTGGTATAAAATATCTTATTTGTTTGCCTTGATTTGTATTTCTCTAATAATAAATGATAACGAGCATGTTTTCATGTGACTGTTAACTATCCATTGGTCTTCCTCAGAGAAATGTCTGTTAATTTCCTCGCCCCATTTTTTACGAGATGTTTAGGTTTGTTGCTGATCTTTGTGAGTATATCTTCTCCCACTCAGCTGTCCTTTAGTTTTAGCCTCTGTTTCTTCTGCTATAAACTTTTGGATTGATGTGGCCCCATTTGATTAGTTTTGACTCTGTACTCTTTGAAAATGGCTTCGTCTTGTTGAAGGCTCCTTTGAGGTGTAGGTTATGGAGCTTTCTGCTTTTATGTAATTTATAGATTCAGGTATAATCTCAAGGTTTTTCATATACTTTGAGTTTACATTTGTGTAAGGTGTAAGATATAAATTCAGCTTTAATATCTTGTTTATGGTTATCCTACTCTCCCAACACTATTTGTTTAAAAGACTTTCTTTATTCATTTTCATGCTGTCAGCTCCTTTATAAACAGCTACCAATTTCCTCATTGAAGTCTGTTAGCAGTTGTTTTAAGTATTTTGATGGTCTCTCTTTGGGTGATATATGTTTGTTAGTGTAATTTCTTCTTCATATACACATCCCTTGATTATTAAGAAATGACCTTCACTGTCTCTTCTCATCATTTTTCGGTCTGAAATCTATGGTGTTTGATATTATTATGGCAACCCTGGCCTTTTTGAAGGAGTTGTTTGCTTGAAGAATTGTTTTCCAGCCTTTGACTTGAGTCTGTGTTTGCTCTGATTATTCAAATGTGTTTCTTGTAGGCAGCAGAATGTTGGATTCAATTTTTTAATTGAATTGTATACTGTTGGTTTCAGTATACTATTTCAGTATTTTGGAACCACGTGTCTCTTAATTGGTGTGTTTAGACAACTGACATTGTGAGAGATTATTGTTGTTGGGTTTGTGCTATCTTTCTTTAGAAGTTGGAAAGGAATTCTTATATTGTGTTTGTGGGATTTGTCTTGCCTTACAGTATCCTCCTTCAGTTTTTGATTCAAAATTGGTCTTGAGTCTATGAAATTCCTGAGCTTTTATTTATCCACGACGTTTTGTATCTCTCCTTCAAATTGAATGTGAGTCTAGTTGGGTAAAGTATTCTGGTGAGGAATCCATTTCATTCAGGTTTTTAACTATATTCCATCACTCACTTCAGGCCCATAGGGTTTCCTTGATAGATCTGCTATTATATAGATCTGGTCCTTTGTATGTAATTTCTTTGACCTTGCTGTTTTCATTGTTTTTTTCCTACCTCTCTTATATTTCTGATTATGATTTGTCTTGGAGATTTTTTATTAGTGTTTCTTTTAGCTAGTACCCTTCAGGCTCCTTGGATCTGGGTGCCTGCATTCTCCAGCTCTGGCATCTTTTCAGTAGTGATATCTTTGATGGTTACATCCTCATTGGGTTTGCCTTCCTGTCCTTCTGGGACTCTAATGATTCTTATGTTGTTCCTCCTGAACTCATCTCATGTTTCTCTTGCCCGCTTTTGAGTAATTTTGAGACCTTTACCACCTTTAGCTGTTGCCTTGAGGTTTTCTGCATCTCATCTTCAAGTTCACTGTGTCTATGTTCAGCTGCTGCTGCCCTAATGTTGGGGGGCACACAGTGAGTTTTTCATTTTATCTACCAAGTTTTTTATTTATGACATTTCTGTTTGTAGTTTCTTATTTCTGCTTTCATTTCCTCGTATATTCTGTTGGATGCCCAACCTGCTGTTTCTCAAAACTAATTATAACTTCCTCACTATTTTGTCTTTGAATTCTTTATCAGAGAGATTATGTATAAGGGTATTCCTTGTTGAGGTGTCAGAGCTCCTCTCTTCATCTACTTGCATGTGGGGCTCTGTGCTGTTTCCCCATGGTGCCTGTAGTGGTCTGGAGTTGGTATATTATCAGCATCCCCTCTATAGTGCCAGCTCACCTTGGTGAGCTTGTGGGTGGAGGTCTCTTCTTTCTCCTTCAAGGTTATTTCCTTTCTTTTATTGTTTCTGTATAATTGTGTGGAGCCTCTAGCACTGATTCAGGTAATGTTTTTTTAACTCACTCTTACTTTTTGATTAGGGTCGTTTTGATTTTTTGCACTCACGTGTGTGTGTGTGTGTGTGTGTGTGTGTGTGTGTTTTGGGGGAAATGTTGTTTGGAGTAGACCAATGGACTATTACCTTAATGTATTTGGGGTAGCCAGACTGCCCTAGTGAGCCAATTGATGGATCTTTAGAGATATAAAAAGGGAGAATACTAAGCCACCGCTGGGAAATCCACATCCACCTCTGGTCTGACCTGTGGGAGGAGCATGGGTCAAGCTTCCTCACTGTGTGCATTCTAATTCCCTGGTTGCCATCTTCTCTTGTTCACAGGAAAACTCTTTCCCACACAGCAATGAGATACATTTTTAAATTAAAAATTAGTCTAACTTTTGTTTGAAAGTAAAGATAACACTGATCAATAAATAGAATGAAAGAAGATTTTCTATATGAGCTTGGATTGAAGCTGAGAACATCTTCTTTCTAGTCATGACATTTTACTTACGGAGAATAAAGTCCAGACAACTGTTTCTCATGTAGAATCATAATAACTAAAATCATAAAACTATAAGCACTTTTAATATTTTACCTGTAAGATCGAGGAAAATACAGAATGTCTCCATGTAAACATGGAAGAAAATGTGAATATTAACAAATATGACAATGTAAAAGTTGAATATATCTGAAAGAAGATAGACTATGTAAGGAAGAGACAACATATTTAATGATATATATGCCGACAAAACATCCTATCAAAAGTTGAGGCATTTATAGCTGTTTACAGTCTTTAACATATGACATAAGTAATCTCTTCATCAATTGTTAAATGGTTAAACAAAATTCAGAATATCTATACAATGGAAACTTATCCAAATATGAAGATAAATGAAGTAGTGATACATACAATACCAAAGATAAGTCTTGAAACATTTTTAATTTAAAGAAGCTAGTCACAAAATATCACTCTAATTTGAATTTTTGTGTCCAGAATAATCAAAGATATAGAGAAAGGACATAAACCACTATTGTGTATATTAGGGGTTATGTAGGAGAGGGTGATAATATGGAGAATGCTTAGTAATTGGTACTTTTTTTCTCTTCATTTTAAAGATGAAAATAATTGGTGTATAAATCATGATCTTTCCTTATATTACTCAGTTGACCTTTACACATACCATTCCTATTTTAAATAAATATTTCTTCAGTCCTTGATGTGTGACAGGTACTCTGATAAACATTAGAAATAGGTAAGAAATATAATCATGACTGATTTAAAAAAGCTGATACTTTAAGAGGGATACAGAAATGTAACCACTGTACTACTTATAAGTATAAAAGGAAGGATGTAATGTATAAATAACTCACCGCAGACTAAAGGATATGTAGGTTCTGGCAGAGGTAGGCATAATTAAGGGTAATTTGTTAAGAGAACGCACATAGACAGAAAACAGAGTATAATTAAAGACTTCAGGTAATTTTTCCAACTGGTATGTGCATATTGAGACTTGATGGATCAGACTGGGGCATTTTGGGATATACTTACAAAGAGCTTTGTAAGCTATCTAAGTTATTTGATATTGTCAAAGTTTTGGAGAGCCAGAGAAGAGACAGAATGGTGGCAGTGATAAGATTGAATTTTTATCCCAGTAAAAGTACTCTTATTGTAGAAAGGAGATTGAAGGCAAATTACAACAGGAGTTATAAGCCCTTCAATGATTCCATCAGCTCCAAGAAACTGATTCCAGCCTCATCAAGCCACCCATTTAACCATATCATGTCCTGCCACACCACAAGTTTTCACTTGTGAGTTTTTACTTGTGCTGTTACTACAGCCTGGACTATCCTTATTCATCTTCTTGGCAAACAACTCATTCCTAAAATTACAATTCAGAGCTACCTACACTAAAGTTTTCCTTGTTATCTGTGCAAAATAAATTGTTCTTTCCTATCTGTTCCCATGAGTAGCTAAACTAGAACCCTTACTGCCTTATATTATTCTATTTCAGCAACATGACTTCTTTATTAGACTATAAAGTCACAAGAGAAGGAAAGATATCTAGATTTCTAGATATCCAGTATCTGGAACATTCTCTAGAACTTGGTTAGAACTTGATTAGGTAGTACTTTTATACTTTGAATGATAAGTGGGTAAAATGAGTCCTATCTGCCCTACTCTAACTTCCTCCATCATGGGGTGAATAGCTTGGGGTGAATAACTCTTCTGTTGGCATCACCTCTCACTTTCGATGCCCACATGGCTCACAGACAAGCTATAGGAATGTAGGTGATAAACTAGTCTGTCTAACCAAATGTTGTCTTCCTAGGTGGTGCAGCTGGAGGAGCTCCTGGCAGTGCGGCATTCTGTGTTTGTAGTGGGAAATGCGGGTACTGGCAAGTCTCAGGTGCTCAGGTGCTTGCACAAAACCTACCAGATTATGAAACGGCGCCCTGTGTGGACTGATCTAAATCCAAAAGCAGTCACCAATGACGAACTGTTTGGTATCATCAATCCAGCAACACGAGAATGGAAGGATGGTAAAAGAACGCTACTACTTGGGAAAGTTCCCCCCACCCACATTCTTTTTGACAGACTTAACTTTGGCTTATTTTTTAGCCATTGTGGAAAGCTAAAAATGGAAATACAAGTTCAAATTATATTCACAGTAGCAGAAAAAAAAGCTGAAATATTTAAGAATGCATTTATCCATGGCAAAGCCTGGCAAACTACCCGTGATGTATTCGATATGCCAAAAACAGTAACAAGTCTCAAAATGGAGCCATTACTGGTGCCCGCTCGAGCAAATCGATGAATAACGGGAGGACAGTGTACAGTGCTACAGTACATTTATCCAAAGATATGTATTGGAAGTGATGTAAAAACTTATTAGCATAAAATAATATTTGAATGAACGAAAACTCCTATTATATTATTGTTCAGTCATAGTAGTATTAAAATTGCAAAAGCATATAGAAATTACAGGAGCTAAGGTACTTGCCATACATATGGTTCATTCATGACTCTATTCAAATCCTCGGCACTACATATGGTCTCCCCAGAAACCCCCAGGGTCACAGAGCTAAGAATAGCACCTGAACACTAGCAGAGTATGGTAATGTATATATGTGTGTATACATATACAAAGTTATAAATTTCATATAATGCCATATTGAATTTCATACAGTACACGGTCCACGGTCGGTCCTCCTGTTGTTCATCGATTTGCTCGAGCGGGCCCAGTAACGTCTCTATCATGAGACTTCTTGTTACTGTGTTTGGCATATCGAATACATCACGGGTAGCTTGCCAGGCTCTGCTGTTTGGACGAGACACTCTCGGTAGCATGCCGGGCTCTCCGAGAGGGGTGAAGGAATGAACTCGGGTCGGCCATGTTGGCTGCGTGCAAGGCAAACGCCCTACCCGCTGTGCTATATACAATACACATATTGAAAAAAATTTCTAAGACTACAATTGAAAAGGATGAAAGACCTTATCTTAAAGGGCTTTGATATATGGCCAGGAGAAAGTAGAGCTGGCAAGGTGCTTTCTTGTTTGTAGCTGACAGTTTCACTCCCCATCAATGTGATGGTCACCAGAGCATAACAGCGACTGATTTAGGAGATAGTCCTGAACACAGCCAAATGTAGCCTAGAATGCATTGATTAATTAATTAATTAGCTTCGGTATAATTCCATAATGTCACAATTGCCTACTGAAAGGTTCTTTCTTGGGCAGTCGAAGAAGAGGAACCTCTCAAATGATGCTCAGGATACCCAGAGGCTCCTTCCTATATTTTTGGCACACTGGCCCCTCCTTTCAATGACTAACCAGGCCTGTGAATGAAGTGCTGGAAATGAAGTGCTCTTCCAGGTCACCCCAGTAATTCTGTGTAGGGTGTCATGAGTTGCACCCAGCAATTCTTGGAAGATCTTGCAGTGTTGAAGATCAAATGGAGGTTGACTACTTGCAAGGCACACACCAAATCCCATACTATCTTATTGCCCCCTATATTGTGGTTCTTACAAAAAGACTGAAGATTAAGAGACACCTTGATCACAGTCAAAATTTTGGTAAAATAAGATACAAAATCATGTCTAACCTGACAGTGTTATAGCAAATAATGAAAGGCTGTCTAAGTATAAAGGTGCTTGGTGCTGAAAAAAATTAAGGTACACTGTTATTTTCAGGACTGTTTTCATCCATCATGCGGGAACTGGCCAACATCACTCATGATGGGCCTAAGTGGATTTTACTGGACGGTGATATAGATCCAATGTGGATTGAGTCTCTGAACACTGTTATGGATGACAACAAGGTATCAAGGAGAAGAGGGGAGGGAATCTCTAAGCCAATTCTAATCATTCTAAAATCAGATCACAAGTCTGGCAGAGATATCTAGAAATCTCAATTCCACGTAAAGGCTTATCCTAAGGAAATATTACTAATGTCTTTAAGCGGGTAGGGCATTTTCCTTGCATGTGGCAGACCCAGGTTCAATTCCTCTGTTCCTCTCGGAGCTCCCGGCAAACTATCGAGAGTATCCTGCCTGCTTGGCAGAGCCTGACAAATTCCCCGTGGCATATTTGATGTGCCAAAAACAGTAGCAAGTCTCACAATGGAGACGTTACTGGTGCCTGCCCAAGAAAATCGATGAACAATGGGAGGACAGTGCTACAGTGCTATTTTTGCTTTGGGGGCCAACTTGGTTGTGCACTGTGCTTATTTCTGCCTCTTTATAAATTGCTACTGAGAGCTTGGGGGACCATATGTGGTGCCCAAGATCAGATATGGGCCAGCCTCAAGCAGGAAAAGCACTGTACTAGCTGGACTATCTCCCTGGCCTCTGTCTTTAATTTTTTAATTGCTCAACCTTGATTGTTATATAGTGGACATATAGTATATGTAAATTTAGGGTGTACTATGTGAGAATGTCTAAGATCTACTCTCTCATTGACTTTCAAGTAAAATATACAGTACTCTATACTATAATTGCCATAGTTACATTAGGCTCCGAAAAGTTATTTATCTTATAACTAGAAGTTCAAACCTTTTGACAACCTTCAAATATTTCTTTCCCCAATACTATCACTATCATTATCACTCCTTTTTTTATCGATTTGCTTGGGTGGGCGCTAGTAATGTCTCCATTCGTCCCTGTCACATGCTAGTGTAGCCCGATGGCATATTGGGGGCTCTTTCAGGGTCAGGGGAATGAGGACCATAATTATTACTGTTTTTGGCATATCAAGTACTCCATGGATAGCTTGCCAGGCTCTGCCATTCGGATGGGATACTCTCGGTAGCTTGCCGGACTCTCCGAGAGGGATGGAGGATTTGGGGGCAGCCTCTAATCACCACAGGTGTTCCCAGTCAGGCATATATGCAGGCAGGATACTCTCAGTAACCTGCCAGTTTGCCAGTTTCTCTGAGAGAACTATATACCCTATGCACCTTCCTATAAACTACCAGTGCAATTTTTGAGTTTAGTTTTTGTTAAATATTTTATTTGGGTAAAATCATACCTCATCATCTTATTTTCAGGGCACTCCACATTTTTACAGAAGGCAGAATTTCTTTATGTTACCGAACAATATTTTATTACACATGCATAAGTTAAGGGTAATGATTTTTTTCTAAGAAATCTGACCCTGGTAGGAAATTTTATTGTTGTGTAAATGAGAAGTAGAATTATACAAATCAAAATGGTACTGTCAACTATAAACCTAAGTTACATAGTTTGAAACATATGTAAAGTTTCTCATTGACCAAGCATTAAACTATACATAACTATATAAAACAGATCACATTTTTCTTTCAGTTATTGTAAATAATGCTCTGATGAGTATAGGCATGGAAATGTCTCTCTTAAAATCCTAATTTTACCTATCACCAGTGTTTTCAGAGCTTGATAAAAGAGTTGTCAGAATTAACAACATTTATGTACTTCAATAACATTGCTATTATTCCCATCATATTTAGGCTTGTAATTTCTTTCAGGATCTTTTCAATGTGGATTAATTTAATATGAAAACATAAAAAGAATTTAGGCCACTTTTGAAGTCTCTTAGTTTTTTCCTTTTTATAAATAAAAAAATGATACCATAAACATCCTAAGTTTAACAGACATCAAAAATGGTGGCAAATTTTTATTTACAAAGAGAATATTTTATGTTTAACACACAATGAAAACCAACCAAGTACCAATAAAATGAATTGTAAGATGAAGCTTCTCCTTAACTTGTTCAGAAATTGCCACCAGATTAGTAGTTTAACAGGGATCCCAACATATATATATGGAATCACTAAACCAAATTTTAAAAATATAGTTACTTCCTTAAATAATCCTATTATTTCAAGCACTGACATCAATTTAAACTTCTAGGTAAGTTTTTCCATGGTTAAATGTAGACATACAAGTAGAAGCACGGAGAGACAGAGTTTAATAGGGTAAAATAAGAGAACGGATGTTTTGGAAAATTTAGAAAATACAATCCCAAAGAAAAGAGTAATCATTTATAGCCTTTTGGTATCATCCAAATACCTACCAGCTGGTCATACATTCCAGCTCCTTCAAAACTCTAATGTCCCTTCATATTGTTTCTAGGTCTTGACCCTGGCAAGTAATGAGAGGATCCCTCTGAATCCTACAATGAGACTTCTCTTTGAAATCAGCCACCTGCGCACAGCCACACCAGCAACTGTCTCCAGAGCAGGTAAGGGTTTAAGAAAGGAAACAAATACAAACTGGCACAGCTGAAGAAGGTGCCTCCAGTTTACTTCATCTAAACTGTAGCCCAAAGCACATCTTTAATCCACATCCCCATGATTGAGCAAGTACTCTAAATACAAGACAGTCAGCACTGTCAGCACTGTACTCCCATTGTTGCTCGAGCAGGCACCAGTAATGTCTCCATTGTGAGACTTGTTATTGCTGTTTTTGGCATATTGAATACATCCCAGGTAGCTTGCCAGGCTTTGCCATGCGGGCAGAATACTCTCGGTAGCTTTCCCCTCTCTGAGAGGGGTGGAGGAATCGAACCCTGGTCGGCTGCGTGAAAGGCAAATGCCCTACCCACTATGCTATCACTCTGGCCCTACAAGGCAGTATGATCTTCTTAATTCATAAATATCATGGCAATAAAAAAGAAATGTTCCCTGTGCTCTGCACAGATCTCCTCTACACATAAATGCCTCAAATTAGGATATATTTTATATTTTTAATTTTATATCATATTTTAGGTAATAGAGTAACAAAAGTCTTCAAGTTTCTGGCATGATGTAGAAAGTATTGCATAGCCTTGCTGCCAAAATACCCATGACACCCTCATCCCAATGTCCACCCCATCTTCTATCCCACCTCTTTCTCAGTTGTTGTTATTGTCTTAGTACATACTTTGAGTCCACTTAGCTCCACCCATATGCTCAAGACTCCCCACTTATGTCCCCATACAATATCACAGCAGCATGTTCACCCCCTTACCTCACACTCTCCTGTCTGTATTCTAACATTGGAGGTTTTTTTAGATTGATATTGTCCATACACTTGATCTGTTTCTTTCTATAACACAGATGAATATGATCAGACTGTATTTGTCCTCCCTCTGACTTATTTTGTTAAATTAACACCTTCAACCAAGTTTCCTGAAACTGCATGAATTTTTTTTCTCCAATGGCTGCAAATACCATAGCCTCTTTATCCATTCATCTGATATTGAACAGTTGGCTGCGTCCATATCCTGGATATCATTCTAAGAGCTGAAATAAACATAGCTGTTCAAATATCTTTTGAATTAATGTTTTTGTATTTGGGAAACATAGGATATAGTTAGACCAGTTAAAGTCTCTAAATCGTGGTGGAAAATAATGGCTTTATGACTCAGCTTTTTTCTATCTCTGCTGGTAACATTAATTAAGAGAAACTAGAGGATAAAGAGAATGTATATATCTTTACTATATGCATATTCCTTCTCCAAAGCTTATGCTGAGTTTCATCAACACAGGCCATTAGAATTGACTCTGTCATCCAGTAACTTCTGTAAGAAATAACCACAAACTATGTGTTTTAAAAATAACAGAAATGAACACTTTTATGTTTATAGAAAAACATATTGTAGGACAGAGAAATAATACAGAAAATAAGGCACTTGCCTTGCAACCTCAGTCAGCTTTTCCGTAGCATCAAAAATCATGATTGCCACTCAATGCCTCTTTTGCAAACCACAACACCCAAAAGGAGAGAGAGAACAGAGGGGTGTGCCCTGCCACAGAGGCAGGGTGGGATGGGGGAGAATGCGGGGTGGGAGGAATACTGGGATCCATGGTGATGGGAAATGGGCACTGGTGGAAGGATGGATATTTGATCATTGTATAATTGAAACCCAAGCACAAAAATTTGTAAGTCTACAACTGTACCTCATGGTGTCTCACTAATAAAAATAAATTAAAAAATAAAAATAAAAGTATGATTCTCAACATACAAAAAAAAATCATCCCCTAAGCACATCTAGTAGTGATACCTGATCATAGAGGCAAAATGTGAACCCTGGGGCTGGAGCAATACCACAGTGGGTAAGGCGTTTGCCCTGCACACAGCCAACCCGGATTGATTCCCAGCATTCCATGTGGTCCCCCAGACACTGCCAGGGGTAACTCCTGAGTGCATGAGCCAGAAGTAACCTCTGTACATCGCTGGGTGTGACGAAAAAAAGCAAAAATTAATTAATTACAAAAAGAATGGGAGGTATTAAGACTTGAAGTTTAAAGAAAAAATATGAATCCTGAGTACAGCTGTGCTACAGATAGATAGATAGATAGATAGATAGATAGATAGATAGATAGAGCGATAGAGAGATAGAGAGATACACAGATAGATAATCTGGTTATGGCATCTAAAATCAAGATGTCATCCCACCTGTACTACTCTCAAGGATCTTACAGAAAAATGTATATTCCAGTTTGGATATTTCTTGGTTTGAGGACCTATCAGAAAATTTATCTCCATAATCTCATGACTGCCTCTGTGTAAACTTTTTCCCTCTTTGTATTATACAGACATTTTTAAATGACCCACCAAACTAACCAGGATTTATCTTATTTCAATATTCTTAATTATAGGCTGCTCAGGCCCTTTTTTCAAACAAGATCTCATTCAGGGGTTAAGAAATAGGCATTTATATGGTGTTATTAATACTCAACCTGCTGCACATACAACATATTGTAAGAAATGTTGCAAATGAATGATAGACTTCCATTCTGAGCTTATCCTCTGCATTAGTAGGTTTCTCAACAATGCTTCCTGTCAGGTATTATCAGTCAGTTGATCTCAATAGTAAACCCATTTTCTCTCTCAGTTTTCACCATATCTCAGTTATATTTATATAGAATCATCAGTTATATTTAATAGAGTCATGGTACATTTTCTAAACAGAGAAATTCAATGTCTAGTGTGATACTGACATATAGAACATTTCCTGAATAATGCTCATTGTGTTCTCAGGGATTCTATATATCAACCCATCAGATCTGGGGTGGAATCCTCCAGTGAACAGCTGGATTGATAAGAGAGAAATCCAGACAGAGAGAGCAAACCTAACTATTCTGTTTGACAAGTATCTTCCGACCTGCTTAGACACACTCAGAACCAGGTATGCCAAGAAATATGCATGGTAACAACTTAAAGTAACCTTAAAAAGCTTTGGGGCTCATGTGTCCTGGTGTTTGGTATTATCCCTGGTCAGATGTTTCTAAATCAACCCCTCCCAGAAAATGTTAAAAGCCATGAAATCTTATTGTCCCTTTCTGCAGAAATTGAGCAAACAGGAAGACTTAAAGTCCTTTTTATGAGTGCCATGAGAATATATCTAGAAGTTGTTGTAAGCAGTAATGTCAAATAATAACCATGAAGCCCTTTGGTTTGTGGAACAAGCAGATGGTCTCCTGATAATACTACCCAGGCCAGATAAACAGACCAGGAGATGAAAATGAATTGTCAGGAAAATGTGGGGTCTGCTTTCTAGTACAGGCTATGATTGTTTATGGGCTGAAAATGTGGGGTTGATACAAAGCATCATTTTAGCAGTTCTGACCCTCTGGACACCATGAGTTCAATCTTCCTTTTATGAGTTTGTAAATGTAAAAGTTATAATTCTTGGCCACTTATCACATAAAAAGACTAATTACTCTTAAACAAAAAGAACTTATTTATAGCAAGAATTACGTGTGTCTGAAGAGAGAGGTTCAATTTAGAGCATGCTATTGTTTTATAGTCTCCGTTTTGTATATTTAATGAATTATTCTCTGAATTTGGTGTCCAGCTCTGTAGTTGAACACTGTTAATCACCAAAGGCTGGTTCTGTGATGGCAACATGAGTCAGAGATCTCTTAGTTCTAGAAGATTAAGCAAGTAAGGATCAGGATTATGTCCCAGACAAGTGAAAGTCCATCACTCAAATCCTCCCTGTCAAGTATAAAATAGATAATTTCTCATGAGTGCGAAGACAATGAAGTGAGATTTCTCCACAAAAATCTGGAAACAACCCAAGTGTCTGAGAACGGACGACTGGTTAAAGAAACTTTGATACATCTACACAATAGAATATTATGCAGCTATTAGGAGAGATGAAGTCATGAAATTTGCTTATAAGTGGATAGACATGGAGAGTATCATGCGAAGTGAAATGAGTCAGAAAGAGAGGGCAGATATAGAAGGACTGCATCATTTGTGGAGTATAAAATAACATAACATGATACTGACACCTAAGTACAGTAGGTACAAGGGCAGTAAGATTGCTCCATAGTTGGAAGACTGCCTCATGAGCAGAGGGGAGAAGGCAGCTGGAATAAAGAAGAGATCACTAAGAAAATGTGGGTTGGAGCAATTGGTTGGGATGGGAGATGTGTGCTGAAAGTAGATGAAAGACCATACATGATAACCTCTCAGTATCTGTATTGCAAACCATTATGCCCAAAAGTGGAGAGAGAGTATGGGGGAAATTGTCTGCCACGGAGGCAGTGGGAGGGTGGGAAAGGGGAGTTATACCGAGGATATTGATGGTGGGGAATGTGCACTGGTGATGGGATGGGTGTTTGATCATTGTGTGATTGTAACCCAAACATGAAAGCTTATAACTATATCTCATTGTATTTCAATATTTTTTTAAAAATAGACATTTTTAAAAAATTGAAAGCACAAAACACTGAATAGAATAGTTACCTATACAATGTTCAAGTCTGTTGTTAGAAATAATCCAATGTAGGGATTATTATCAATTGTAGAGGACAAAACAAAGTTTGAGTTCAACTCAGACCCAGGTTTGATATTCACTAGTTTTTGGTCTCCTGAGCATCACCATGATTTGGCCCAAAACCAAACAACCTAATAAATAATTAAAAATCTATTGTAAGCAAGAAATAATTTATTGAAAATAGAGTTTATGATCCAGGATCACAAACAAAGTAGTTATAAGAACGTTTCATCATAGGCAGGATGCAGATGAGTTTTAAAAGATCATGCAGGGGATTTACCTAGTTAAGCTTAAGTCATTTATTTGAACCCTTGGGATTAATTGAAAAGACTCATTGAGCAGAACAATGCAATGTTGAGTTTTTTGCACAATATGAAAATAGTGTCATGTATTTCCTAATTATCAATATGAAATGAATTAAAAATTGCTACTTCTTTTGTAGTAACCAATACAGAGAAAAAGTAAGTTGGTATTCTTCAGTAATTGCTGAAAAGAAGAAATTGAGTAATCCTTCTGATTTAAGCTTGTTGGTTTCTTCACCTACATGTTTCAACATGCATTTGGGACAAGATAGAATTTTGTTGACACAAAGTAGATTCCAAATCCACAGGCTCATGACTTGATCCATACTGGTATATTGCTCATTGTTTTACAGTGAGGATTGTTGCCCACTGAAACAGACAGCCGCTCTTTAGCCTGTGAGCTTATCTTTACATAGGAGGAGACCACAAAGTATTGTGTGTATGAGAGAGACAGAGACAGAATGAGACAGACAGAGACAGAGATCAACAGAGAGAGAGACAGAGACAAGGAGGGATTCTATAAGATAAAGATCAGTCAGTTCCTGCCCATTACATCCCCAGATACGGCTGAAGCTCCAAAGAAAATAGTTTCAGTTTACTGAGGGAATATCTCTGGTGTGGATTGGAAAAACAAAACTTACACCCACCTTGAACTTTGGTATATTTTAGTCATTGAGTAAACTTGAAGTGAAGAAAACTGAAATATTTAATTTTTATGTTGTACACTTGCCCACGGATTTGCAGGGTATCATTAACGTTTGGATAAGGGAAGAAGAATGGTGGGTATCAGGAAAGAAAGTTGAAAAACAATCTAATTTTTTAACAAAGGAAGTGGACAAAGAAATCAAGGTGGAGCTAAAGTGATAACACACTGGGTAGGGCACTTGCCTTGTACACGGCCAACCTAGGTTTGATCCTTGGTACTCCATATGGTCCTCAGAGCCTGACAGCAGTGATCCCTGAGTGCAGAGACAGAAGTATCACTGTCCTATCACTGTCCTCCCATTGTTCATCGAGTTGCTCGAGCGGGCCCAATAACGTCTCCATTGGAGACTTTTGTTGTTACTGTGTTTGGCATATCGAATACATCATGGGGAGCTTGCCAGGCTCTGCTGTGCGGGCGAGATACTCTCGGTAGCTTGCCAGGCTCTCTGAGAGGGGCGGAGGAATCGAACTCGGGTCGGCCATGTTGGCTGCGTGCAAGGCAAACACCCTACCGCTGTGCTAGCACAGTGGGTAGAGACAGGAGTAAGCCCTAAGTAATGTGTGATGCAACACCCCCCCCCCCCCAAAAAAAAGCGATCAATCAATCAATAATGAAAGGCATAAGTAATGCTATGGTCCTTTGAAAACCTAAATAAATTGACATGAAATATTTTGAGTACACGGAAGTTTACTAGACTCCATGCTATTCAACAGCAGCGTGAGTATGAAAAATTCCCATGATTTTATCTTTCTTTCTCTTTTTATTTTTTAAATTTTTATTAGTGAATCACTGTGAGGTACAGTTACAGATTTACATATTTTAGTGCATGTGTTTCAATCATACAATTATCTTTCTTTCTCATTTCAGATTTAAGAAAATAATTCCAATCCCAGAGCAAAGCATGGTTCAGATGTTGTGCCGCCTTCTTGAATGCATGCTGACCAAGGAAGATATCTCTGCAGACTGCCCCAAGGAAACTTATGAGCTTTATTTTGTGTTTGCTGCCATCTGGGCTTTTGGTGGAGCAATGGTCCAAGATCAGGTGAGAGATTTGTATATTAGTGATGCTAATGTTATCACTCATATACAAATCTACAATGGCAAAAACTGAGACTTCAGCAAAGATCTGAATACAAGACAGTTTAACAGAATTAATATAATGGCATTGAACTATTCATAGATTTTTACCCATTGTTCTCCTAAAGGCAGTTGTCCTCATAGAAAGACGTAACAAACAGTAGAGAAAGATCTTTTCTTTTTTGAGTTAGTAAGTCTATACTGATTACCTACAGAGTTGCAGCGTCTAGTTCAAACAAAGGGAGTTATAAATGCACAACTTTTCATAATGATGCATGATTAAATGATGTATATAGATGGAATAATGCTATATGTGTAAGTTTTAGTGTGAGTTTTGACTGCTTTAGACTTCTAAAAATCTTCCAGAACAAGCTTGTACCACTTTTTACTAGGTAAGAGTTAACCATCACATATCTGTAGTCTAAAATTCAGAGCTCTTTATAGACATTTGAACCAAAAGTTAATTGGCATCTAGGGAAAATAAATCAAAACAGTATTGATCTCTGGGTACTAGAATACTTGGCTTAGAATACATTCTTGCCTTCTTACAGTCTTTTTAACTTTTTTATCTAAAAATTGCAATTGTAAGGATTTTATGGACCAACTTTTAAACTGATACTGGTTATCATGCAACTAGCATATAGAGATTAAAAAGATGAGCTCAGGTTATGAATTACAATTCTGTAACTCTCTGGTGGCCATGGACAGGTAATAATTCTCTCTACCTAACTCTCCCCCCCATGTGTCCGAAGGAAATCAGGATTATTATAATTTCTAGAGTGGTAGTAGGGTTTAAATAAATGGATAGTGTACAAATCACCCAACAGTAGTTTATGGAAGATACTAAAAATAATACTGGGAAACATACATATATATTATTCTTCTCCTACTACAAATATTCAGTTTCATAGATATCTCTCTCACAACACTGGATCAAACCAAACTGTAATTATAGTGGAGCTACAACTTACTTTCTGGTATGAATTGATTGTGGGAACTTTAAGGAAATAGAAGTAAAAGTGTATACACCCTCCCCAAAGTCAAAATAATGTTTTTAGAATTCAAAATGAAGTTGAACAATTAATTTTGAAGGATCTATTTCTTTTTTATATTCACAGACTCTGATTGTAGCATCTATCCCACAACTAGTCACTTTCTAGCATGTTTCCAATGCTCAAAATTCATAGAGGAACTCACATAAGCTGTCTCTTTTTCCTTATGCTGATGGGAAAGGGGAAATCTTCAAAGAGCATAAGGATACCTCAATAGGGAGTTTGATATCTGAAGATTTTATTCTGTTTATCATTCCTTAGAACTTCTTTGTGAACTATTTCTTAGTGAGCCTTCTGTTTCTTTTTTGAGGCAAGGAAGCAATGAATCAAATGGGATAGTTTCTCAAGTTTTGTTAAATTCTCATTCTTGCTAAAATACACTTATATACCAATAAGCACAGATTATTGCTGGTCATCAAATGCAGCCCTAGATCTTTTAGCTCTTGAAAGGTCAAGCAGCAATTACTGCTGGCTTCTCTCTCTCTCTCTTACACTGCTGTGGAGCAAGCAGAGGGAATAAAAAATCAACATATTTGATCAATTTTTCTCTCTGTGTGGAAAAATTTAAATAGACCAGCTGCTTTTAGATGATCAGAGGAAAGCATCTCTTCAGGGGACTGGGCTCTGGAGTGTTTTGATTTACAGACATCCATGCTGGGACATGGGGAGGAAACCAGGGAGAAAGCTTTTAACAGCAGGAATTGTCCAATCCCCCCCAGCTCCCAACATACACACACTCACCACCAACAATAAAGCCAAATGCCAAAAAGTAGTGCTAGAAATTGAAAAATAGGAAGTTAGTCAAAATATTCACATAAGAAACCCTATGGTTCTTATATTTAAAAACTGCCATTACAGCAAAGGAGAAATTAAAATGGAGTCTTTATCTGAGTAGAGGATCAGGAAGGAAGAAGGAAAGAGGGAGGGAGGGAGGGAGGAAGGAAGGAAGGAAGGAAGGAAGGAAGGAAGGAAGGAAGGAAGGAAGGAAGGAAGGAAGTATTCTAGCCAAATAGTTTTCAGTGATGACTAAAAATTAACCCTCAAAAACTCTGTGAACGCCAGACTAGGGAATTGAAAGCAGTGATAAATTTTATTTTGTAATATGTTCTAGAGGTGTAACCCTTTGTGCTCTTGCTTTTTCCTATATAAAAAGGAACTACTTTTACTAGCAAGGTAATGTAGAGCATTATAATACCAAATTCTGTCTGCTAAACTTGGTGTAAAGGGCCCTCCCGTTGATCATCGATTTGCTCAAGCGGGCCCAGTAACGTCTCCATTGGAGACTTTGTTGTTACTGTGTCTGGCATATCGAATACTCTCGGTAGCTTGCTGGGCTCTCCAAGAGGGGCGGAGGAATCGAACTCCGGTCGGCCATGTTGGCTGCATACAAGGCAGACGCCCTACCCGCTGTGCTATCGCTCCAGGCAAACTTAGTGTAATTAAAGTCAAAATGTAGTAAGGGGTCCCAAGGATTTTTATATTCAAAGGAAATGAGAATTTTCTATTTATTAAGGTTATTGCTGACGTAACACACAGTGTTGAGCTGAACAAGGGCATTTAACTGACTTGGTAAAGGTGACCTTATCTTAGAGTAGCAATTATAGTTGAAAGTAAGGTCAAAGAGCCAGATTTCAGGAGAAAGAAATGACGTTGCTATAGTCTAGTTAATATAACCTGTCTGAGAAACCAACCAAGTAGCTTAATGTAGAATTTGAGGTAAGTAAAAAGAGATGAAACTCTCACTCCTCTTCCTTCTCTAAATAGCTAGAGTCTTATATTTTCATTCAAAATGTTTTAATCGAATCACCACAAATTAAAAAGTAACAAAGATATCCATGATTGACTTTCAGGCATAAAATGTTCTGACACAAATCCCTTTACCAGTGTCCACTACCCTCCACCAGTGCCCTCTTCCCTCCTGCCCCTCAGATGACCGGTGCCTTCCCCTTCGTTCTAGGGTTCCCTTACCTAACTAATTACCCTTTCCTATCCCCACTCCAGTAGCAAGCTTCCTACTGAAGATCAGTTCTACTCTTTGTTTCTATTGCCCTTGGGCATTTCATATTCCCCTAGTTAGTTTCCTTATATCCCCCATATAAGGAGATATCATTCTGATTTTGTTCCTCTCCCTCTGACTGATTTCACTCAATATGATACTCTCCATGCTATATTCAAACTGCGTGACTTCATCTTTTCTTATGACTGCATAGTATTCCATTGTGTATAACCAGAGTTTCTTTATCCAGTCTTGGACAGATGGTTTGTTTCCAGGTTTAAGCTACTGTGAATAGTGCGATAATGTACATAGTAGTGCATATGTCTTTTCAGTATGGTGATTTTGAGCCCTTGGTGTATATTTTAGGAGTGGAAAACTGCTGGGTCCTATGGAAGCTCAATTCCGAGGGTTGTTTTTTTTTTATTAAGGTATGTCCATATTGTCTTCCAAACAGACTGGACCAGTCAACATTCTCAGCAGCAGCGAATGAGGGTCCCTATTTACATACATTCTTATCAGTCCCAGTTGTTCTTTTAATCAGTGCCAGCATCTCTGGTGTTTTCATTTACATTATCAGTGTTTTGATTTACATTTAACTGATGTTTAGTTATATAGAGAATTTTTTCATTTGGCCATTTGTATTTTTTCTTTCAGGAATTTTCAGTTCATTATTTTTCTACCCATTTTTGAAGAGTTGAATTACTTTTTCTTTTAGATTTCTACTAGTGCTTTATATATCTCAGATATTAACCCTTTTCAGATGAGTTGTTGTCAATGTCTTCCAGTCTGTGTGTTGACTTGTGTTCTGGTCATTATTTCCTTCAAGGTGCAAAAGCTTCTTAATTTAATGTAGTATCATTTATTTATTTCTGTTTCTCTTTGCTTGGTCAGTGGTGTTTCATCCTTAAACATGCCTCTAGCTTCAGTATCATAGAGAGTTCTGCCTATATTTTCCTCTGTGTACCTAATGGATTCATAAAAAATGCCTATAAATTAATGGGCTTGGAGAGTATCATGCTGAGTGAAATGAGTGAAATGAGTCAGAAAGAAAGGGACAGATATAGAATGGCTGCATTCATTTGTAGTATATAAATATAAAGAGAGATATAGATATATAGATATTAGAAGACCTAACCATGGCCAGGAAAAACAGGGTCTAGGAGGACTGGTCAGTGGTTGGAATCAACTACAAGTGTGTGTAGACCAGAGGGTAGGTAAGATAAAGAAGGGTCCAGGATGACAATACTAGCTGGAAATGATCACGCTGGACAAGTACGAGTGTTAAAAGTATGTAAAAGGATATACCTAATAACCTTTCAATATCTGTACTCCAACCACAATACACAATGCCCAAAAGGAAAGAGAGAGAGAGAGAGAGAGATAAAGTGAAAGAGAGATAAGAAAAATTCCTGCCATAGAGGCAGGCTTGGTGGGTCCAGGATGCTGGGAGGGAAACTAGAGCTAGGAAATGTACACTGGCAGAGGGATAGGTTTGTAACACTGTATGCCTGAAACCAAATTATAAACAGCTTTGTAAATATCTATCTCACAGTGATTAAGTAATAAAATCTTTTAAAAATCAATTCGGGTCATATCAATATCTTTAACCTATTTTTGATCTGACTTGTGCATCGTGTTAGAGATCTGAGTTCACTCTTATCCAGGTAGCAGACCAGCTTTCCCTGCATCACTTGCTGAAAAGACTTTCCTTGTTTAACTTCATACATTTTGCTCCTTTACTGAAGATTATTGGATTGTATACCTGAGCATCCATTTCTTTTCTTTTCAATTACATTTATCTGTGGGTCTCTTCTTATTTCAGGACCATGCTGGTTTTTTTGTTTGTTTGTTTGTTTTATAATTTATTTATTTATTGAATCACTGTGGGAAAAGTTACAAAGATTTCAGGTTTAGGTC